AAGATAAACTCCCTTACCTAAGAAAAATGTACTGGCAGGGCCAGAAAGCAGGTGTAGTAATATTTGCTCTATTGGTCCTGAATGTTTCTATGATGCCTATCTGGTCTAATACCTGTCCCTCCATTTAGATTCTCTCTAATCTCATCCAGATACCCTCTTTCCCATACAGTGGGAACAGGGACATATTGGGGGTAGACTGAATAACCCACAAGATATTGGGGTCACTCCTTTCTGTCCAGGTAGCACTTGATCCAGTAGTGCCTATCTTGTCCAATCCATGGGTCACACTCAGACTTTCCTTGCTGTTGTCTGATCAGGATCATCGTTCTGCTGGTTGGCTTGACCTCTTGCAGTCCAGGATGGTTCTTCTCAGATACCATTCCCAGTGGCTCCTCTAGTGTGTTTTCCAGATTGTTTAGGGCTTTCTCTTCTTCACAAGCTCCTTTAGCATCAACGTCAAAGTCATGGGTGGACTTTGGAAGCTGGGTAAGTGACTAAGTCAGTCAACAAGCATCTTTTAAGCACTTACTATTATTAAGCCTACCTGGGCTAACAGGAAAACTAGATGACTCTTTTCAATGCTCCTGAATATCTGCCCTTGTGAGCAAAGACAAAGTTTGGAAACATCTCTTTCATGGAAAACTGTACAATTTTGATAGATGCATGGCAGGATATTTTGTTAGAGGGGAGCCTTTTAAGCAATATTTTGCTTTACTAGACAAAAAGCTTTTTAAAAAGTCAACAAAGAAGTATAGTGGGATCTTATATTTTCTACATCTTTCAGTCAATTATATGATGGCAAAAATGTAGTTTACTAGGAAATGATACTTGTAAAAATCAGTCTGTTACCTTTTTATACCTTCAGAAGACCTCAATGCATATATATTTTGAAATTTTTTTATGTGGAAAGTTGGTATGAGTAGGTAGTGAGCCATGTTCTCTTGGCTGCCATTTTAAAATAATTATATGTTTCCTACAATTTCAGTATCTAGTCATTTTTCTGATATCTTGAAAATTAATCCCTTCAGGCCCTCAAAAGTTTGGCACCACCAGCAAAGTGCTCCTATGTGTGCACGTACTTGGCATAATCCAGCTTCTTTGCTCCATCTTTGTCAAAGAGCCTCCCCCCTTCTTCAAGAGGCACAGCTGAGACTGTGATGTTAGAGTGCAACAGTGGGTAGTTCTTAACTTTGAAGAGATGGCTATCGAAGTCTTCAATGCTTTTGCGTATGTGTCTTCTCTGTTATCCCCCATTCAGCTTCATTCTTAAATGCTCAAATGGGACTCTCACCAAATTTTCTTCAAACTTCTTTTCCCTTTTACTGTTTGTCCCCATTTTATGAGGAGATGCTACTTATAAACTTCTGTCATTCTTGTCTCTAAGATATTCAAATGATTTTGCATCCTCAAAGAACTGTCGTCCTAGGCTGCCAGCTCTCTTCTTGGCACATAGATGGTATTTACTGACTAGGGCAATTTTTAAGTTCTTCTAGTCTCTTCCCTATGGCAGTTCGCTAAGATCAGTTAAACACTTGTATGGAATTGCTATTATCAATGTCAATGTCTTTTTCTCCATCCATTTCCCATTTTTAGAATAAGTATCTTGTTTAAAATTATGAAGTTGGCATTGTTTTAATTTTGCCATAACTTTCTCATTTCCATTATCTCTTCTAGTTTTGTATTCATCTTTATCTTTGCTCTCACAAGTTGGTGCTCTGAATGTAGACAAAGCTGATTCAGGAAGACTCCCATATCAGTAAGGAGCCATTCTGTCCATTAAGATATCATCAATTTCATTTTGGGGTTGTTAATTAATGCTCAGTGAGTCCCTTATCTCTCAGTTCTTTTCTTAGAAAGTATTCATGAATTATGGGTGTGATGTTTCTGTGTAGCCTATAAGTCTCTGACCTCTTTTGTTTCTTATTCCTGAACCACACTTTGCAATATATGCATGTTTCATGCTTACTATCTATGCACTGAAATCACCGGTTATTGAAGGAAACTTAGAGGAAATGGTTGAGGTTCTTTATATAATTTTGTTACTTTTTCATTCTCTGCAGTGGATGTAGGCATATGAACTGTAATAATTTTCAGAGTGGTTACTTTGCAAATAAACACTTATCATGCACGATCAGGGCAATATAAATGACCAAATATCCCATGTTGCTTTTGGACACATGATAAAACCAATTCCATTGGCTCCTTTCCTTACCTTCCTGAGGAGAACCTATGAGTCAACTTTTTATTTAGCTGTGACTTATGTTTGCCTTCTGGTTTTGTTCTAGTGAGAATGTCGAGATTGATTGGATTCAGACCCTCCAGCAAGTATATCTACTTGTAAGGCACTCAACAAGGAGCTTACAATTAGAGTACATACAGTTAAGTCAATGTTTCAATGGGTTTGAAAACGATTTACCTCTGCCCAATTTTCCACCATTCTTAAAAGCAGTGACAGCAGCAGTGGAAAGCAGTCGCATAGGACTGAGAATTATTTTGTTTTGTTTGTGGTTTCATGAATTGTCATGGTCTAAAAACCATCATTGAGTTGTCAGCTTCCTGGTCATGAGCTTCACCACAATTATTTATGCAGGTCCATGGAAAGCAGAAACAGTCTGTTCCCAGCCACACCAGAAGCCCTTCTAAAAGGGAGAACCTGTCAGAGCTCTGCTAGTATGGCTTTTGATAATTTAGGTTTACTTACATGCCATGGGGCATCTGAGTAAGACTTTGGGGCACAAATGGTTATAGATGTTATAAACTGGTGAAGCAGACTATGTAATCTAAGGAATATCTATACTGTTTCCCAAATGGCTAAAATGATAAATCCACTATGTTCTCATGAATATAGAATTCTAACTTTGAATGAGTCTAAATCAAATATTACACTGAATATGATATAAAAAGAAATAGGAATATCTTAACATGGGAAAATTCTCGTTGGATATCTTTTAAAGGAATGGCTAAGATCAAGAGTTATTGGTAACATTAAAATCTGGAAAAATATTAGTGGGAATAGTACATGGAGTGCTAGACTTAGAGGTATGAAGACCTGGATTCAAATCTCAGTTCTGAAATGGACTGGCTGCATAACTCCAGGCAAGTCACGACACCATTCTGAGCATCAGTTTCCTTGTGTACAATAAGCGGGTTGGACTAGATGGCCTCTAAAGTCTTCTGAAGTTCTAAGCTTATGATTTTATAAGACCCAAAAGGGACCCTGAAAGAATGAAAGAGAACGCTTTCCAAATGGTCCCCTTCCATTGTTCAGTGTGTCTGATTTCTGAACGCTCTGACAAATTATCATGTTATAATACACTTCCGCTATAGTTAACCTGGCTATTATAATCATTTGAATATTTTATTTCTTCTAATATTCTTGTCACAAAACATATGCTACTATCTGGCCTATTATTAAAATGGTTTTTGTTTTTAATACAAATATTAGGCATCCAGAACATTCACAATCTTATCATAAAATATTTTTTTCAATTTGAGAAAAATATAGATGTAGATTTCCATTAATGCTTTAAATTTAAGTGTCACAAATTTTAGGAATGTCCGATGATTCTTGGTAATGATTATTATATTGTCCAAGAAGGCTACAGAGTATCTATTCTAGATGTTCTTTCAAAACAATTTACAACAGGAGCTGCGGAAGTCAGTGGTGTTTATATAAAATCTCATCGACTCAAACTCCAAGGCGCACCTTGAATTCTACTCCTCTAACTACTCCAGCTGGTAGTGATCTCGCTTTCATTTAAATTTCACACAATGCTTATCGATTTGGCCAGTTATGGTTCACTGCCTGGCACTATTATTTACTTTTTTTGCTATCTTTTCACCTCAACTAAATTTTAAGTTCTTGGAAAATGGGTACCATACTTCTTATGCTTCATGGCATCCAGGACAATCATACTATATATGCAGTAGGGCCTTGATAGATATTTGGTTTTCTATGTTAGAATAACTACACATAAAATCTTATGCTCAATCACTTAGTTTCCTAAGTGCTAATTCCATGATGATTTCATAAATTATCTAGAGTAACCAGATTTTATTCTAATTAGATGGTCTGAGAGTCTTGGTACCTCTTGACCATTAAAAATCTTCAGGAAAATTAACAGGAGTTATCAGAAGGGGATGATCTATAACTGGTAAAGAGGTATCAAATAAAATGTCACACAAGGCTCCTCAAATGATAGGTGTAGAGACAGATACAAACAGGTACAGATCGAAATGCAAATTTTAGTTGAAAAGTCCTTCTTATGCTATGCCCATTACAGTAAGTGCTATTAAAATGATTCCCACCTCTTTAAAATACATATGTAAGGACAGAAGTCACCTAGACTTCTCAATGAGACTAGTGTGGACTAGGGGTGGACATGTGAATCAATCACCCTAATTAATGTGGCTGTAGAAGCCCAGAACACTACTGAATTAATCAATCAAAAGTAGAAACTAGGTCTTAACACAGGAAATGTATTGGGATTGATTGCTTTTAGAAGACAGATTCCTCGCTCCAGGGCCAGAGGCCTCTGGGCTCACTCCTTAACCCTACTCCACCTTTGCTGCTTCTAGTTTGGGCTTTATATGTCCAAATTAATTGGGTTAGGGTGATTGATTGATTCAATAGAGAAATTCAGGATGTCTATATATGCCTAATCTATAGCCCTGCTTGATTGATTCACAAAATGAGAAGTCTGGTGGCTCCCACACTTTAAAATAAGAAATATAATGCTTTTCTCTTAAAATTAAGCAACATGTTTCTTCCCTCATTAAATAATGGAGATTTTTTTAAAAGATGGGAACAATAAATCATTAAAGTGCTAATAATTAGTTTAGTTGGGATGTCTTATGGAAATATAAATCTAAAATCTAAAATACACAAAATATACTTTAAATTTCAAAGTACCATGATGTTTTTGTCTTAAGGACTGCCATGATGTACAATGCCTTGTTGTATTTTATCCATGTTAAGAAAGTAAGCTGATAATATTTACCTTCAGCATTAACAACCATTGTTCCAATAACCCCTTTATGGTTCTGAATCCTCTTTAGAGTTTCCTCAACCTCTGCCTGTAACAGATGAAATATATACCATAGAAAGTTAATTAACCAAAATGACTTTTTATCATGCATGAAAATCTTAACTAACAGAAAAATGCTTGGAATGTATACATTCTCTTTCTTTGCTAATCTAAATAATAAATACTCTGTTAAGAAATCTAATTCCCCAATCTGGATAAATATTTGTGCAGTTAGTAATTCCAAAGAGTTTACTGGTCCTACAACATGATCTTACTGAATACAGGTTGAGGTTCACATTATGAAGTGACATTTCAGACTTGAAAAAACATTACAATAGTGATCCCTCACATTTGTGTACTCTGGCATGACTTAGATAGATCTTTCACATATGCCATTACATGAGAAATGCTCAAACACTAGGACACATTTTGGAGTAGCTTGCTGGTTTGTAGTATATAGAGAAGCTATGGATTTTACTTTTAAACAGGTGGAGAAAATTCATCTTCTAAATAAACACATTTTCCCCAAGAATCTAACTTTTTGAAGCTGAATACTGGATTAAGTTTTTAAAAAGCACTGATTTGCATGGGAGTGTAGGGTGATTTTGTTTGTTTGTTTGTTTAAACTAGCACTGAAGGGCTGGCATACAAAACTTTTAGTTAAAACATAACTCTGTCCTTGAAAGGCAAGGTGGTTGGCCTCCTCCTTAGTGGAATTTTATCCCATGGTACTGCGTAGAATGACTTTTTAAAAGTCCCCTTTGGGCAACAGAGAGCAGAATATCACTCTGGCGTCAGGATACCAGTTACAAATCTCTGCTCTAACACTTGACAAGCTGTTGTGATTCACTGCTCTTACTATATCTCCTCACCTGTCAAATGGGAATAGTATTAACACTGCTTGCCTTGGTTACCTAGCAACAAGTTTACCATGCTCCAGGCACAGTCTTAAGCACTGGAGATATAAAGGAAAAAAAACTCCTGCCTTCAAGGAGCTTATAATCTAATTATTACAAGAAGAGCAATTTCTATATTTTAAAACCCTATAGAATGTGAGTTATTATAAGGCATAAAAAAACCCCAATTCATTCTTCTGCTTAACCTCATTCAACCTTAGCTTCCTTATATGTAAGTGGAGATACAATTTAGTAAATCATATAATGCTAGGTGTGAAGGGGAGGGGGAAGAGAGGGAGAGGGAGAGGGAGAGGGAGAGGGAAAGGCAGAGGGAGGGTGAGACAGAGAAAGAGACAGAGAAAAAATACATGGAGAGATAAAGACAAGAGACAGAGAAACAAAGGCAGAGAAATGTGTGTGTGTGTGGAGAGAGGGGAGGGAGAAAGAGAGAGAGAGAGAGAGAGAGAGAGAGAGAGAGAGAGAGAGAGAGAGAGAGAGAGAGAGAGAGAGAGAGAGAGAGAGAGAGAGAGAGAGAGATGGGGGTGGGGTGGGAAGAGAAGGAGAGACACCTTAGTTTTAACCTGGTTCAAATCCTTGCTCTGCTACTTATTAGCTGCAGGACCCGAGGCCAGTTCTCCCCTTTCTGCGCTTCACTTTTCTTCTCCATAACATGAGAGTACTGGACTACATGTTCTCTTGGTTAGACTAAGTTCTCTTCCAGCTCTGACATTAAAGGATGCTATGGTTCTAGGTGTCCTGCGGAGGATGGATACTTCTGTGGGAGAGTTGGGGGAGGAAGAGAGGGAGAGGGGAACCGGAGGATGTGTCCTCTTTCTCTTACCCCTTCCCCACCTGGAGTTTGCCTCCCCCTCCCCCCTCTTCTCCCTCTCCCCACCCTCTTAAGTTGTTTGGACGCCGGTCCCGGGGCCGCTGCAACTTCAGCTGCCCTAGAGGAGTATTCCCGGAGACAGGGAGGGAAGGACGGGTAAGAACACGGCCAAACTGCAGATTTACCATCGCTAGCGGCCCGACTGGAAGATCAGTCCCGTTCCGACGCTTCCAAAGTCAGTCGACCCAAGCAGGCCATGGTTGCTAGGAGACATGGGGAGGAAGTGACGACAGAGGCGTAGGCCGAGAGGGGCGGGGCCCGAGCCGGGCGGTTTCCCCCTGCCCTCTCAGGCCTTAGGGAAACCCTTTGGTTCGGGACACTCGGGGAAGGATGGAGAGCGGGCGCGGGCCGGACTGTCGGTGCGGCATTGCGGGCGGGCGGGCGGAAGGCGGGCAGGTCCGCTCTGATAGTTCAGGTCGGTCCGCGGCGGTTGGGGTTAAATATAGCGGTCTCCGGTTGCTAGGAGACAGCGTGCGGAAGTGACGACGGGGACAGGAAGCGGGGGCGGTGTTGCTGGGGCTTCAGTAACCGACGCTGGATCCTCCTCCACCTAAGTCCTTTCTGGAGGCTTCCTCTGTTACCTCTGGCGTGGCCTCCGGCCCTGGGCTGTGGTGACCCAGGAAGTAGTCTCCGAAATAAAAGGGAGGAGGATCCAGGCAAAAGCATGTTATTAAGCCCCTACTACGTGCCAGCCTCTGTGGTTGTGGAGAAAAGACAAAAGATAGCCCCTGCCCTCTAGGAGCTTACAGTCTAATGGGGGAGACAACATGTACGCGTAAGAGTGTATAAACAAGCTATTGACAGGGTAAATTGGAAATAATCGGCAGAGAGAAGGGACCAGCATTAACGGGGATCAGATTTCAGGGACTTCTTTCCAGAATGACATGCAGACGATAGCTGTGTGACCCTGGACAAGTCAACCTCTGCCTCAGTCTTCTCATCTGTAAAATGGGGATAATAAGAGTCTGCAGTGTCTGTTGTGAGAATCGAGCGAGATTCACGCCCTAAAGCACCATATAAATGCTGTTATAAATGCATTAAATAAAATATGTGGGATTATAAAGGAAACCAGTTATGCTGAAATATACTCATCGCTGTATTTGTTGTGGGGGTGGTGGGGAGCGTGTGCTTTCTTACTTTGTGAATATGGGTTATGTGTGTCCACATGGGTCTGTCTAGATGTGGCTGGTAAGTGTCAGCAGTCCCCAAATTCACTTCAGATCATTGAACAGATCCTTTTACTAGTAATTTTGGAACTCTCTGATCTATGATAGATAGATGTATGATCTATGTGGATTTAAAGTGGAGGTGAAAATGATCTGAAGTAATTGAAAAGAAAACTTCATCCTTGCAGAGACTTTTTTCAATTAAAAAAAAGTCAATAAATAGTTTTATGTTTAACATTTTATTGAAACTTTTCGTTTTTTATATCACAGTCATTTCAGTATATTCCTTTCCCTACCCCAGACATTCCCTAAAACCAAAGAAAGAATATTTAAGCAACAATAAAACAGACACAGTATATAATAGAATATGTAACATTCTTCTCTGCCTTTCCAATGAATGTATTTTTAGAAAGCTCTAATTGTTAGAAACATTTTCCCTTAAATTCTCTGAAATTTCCATTTTCCCTAGTCCTGCCTTTGAGGGGGAAGTAGAACAAGTTAAGTCCCCATTTCAAGGAATGCCTTTCATATACTTAAAGATGACATAATTTTCCCCCAACGACAACGTTTCCATCTCCTTCAACCAATTTCATGTGACATTATCTCATGGCCTTTCACCATTATGGATGCCTTGCCTTGGATGCTCTCCATCGTAGCAATGTGCTTCCTAAAATATGGCTCCCCTTGGGGGCAGCTAGGTGGTGCAGTGGATAGAGCACCAGGCCTGGATTCAGGAGGACCTGAGTTCAAATCCGGCCTCAGACACATAAAACTTACTAGCTGTATGACCCTGGGCAAGTCACTTAAGAAAAGAAAAGAAAAAGAAAATATGGCTTCCCTTCCACTTTGAGGCATGAAATTTAGTGAAGCAAGTTCCATGTCTGCAAAAGGGTTCTGTAAACCTATACCTTATTTAAAAGGAGCAGGCTAGGTTGGGGGTGGGAGGAATGCAGCTAGTAGATGGCATGCTGAGCAAGGAATCAGAAGACTCATCTTTGAGTTCAAATCTGGCCTCACATACTTCCTAGCTGGCTGACTCTGGGCAAGTCACTTAAACCTGTTTGCCTCAGTTTCCTCATCTATAAAATAAGCTCAAGAAGGAAATGGCAAACCACTCCAGTATCTTTGCCAAGGAAACCCCAAATGGGATCATGAAGAGTCACGACATGACTGAAACGACTGAACCACCACAAAGCTAAGGAAGGACACATGGAAGAAAGCATTTAGGTAAAGATCAGTGAAGGCACAAGCAGATCTAGTAGTGTCATCGGTATGTAGTATGTGGATAGAAAGAGGAAACATGTAAAGCCTCATATGGAGGCATGATAACTTCAATTATCCACACTTGCTTCTCCTGTCTTAGTGAGAGTTTCAAAGTGATAATTTCAAAAGATGGAGGGGGGAACTTCTATTTGGGATCTGATTCTCACCAACAATTAAGAATTGATAGTTGCTGTAGAAATGATGAGAGTTTAGAAAGAATGGTTTTCTTCTTAGAATTTGTCGTAAGAAAAAAACAAATTGGGACATAGTCTGACATTTACTATTTAGAGGGTAAATTAGACTCATTTAGACTTTAAGAGAACAAACTTCAAAAAGTATGGAAATAGGATAGTTAGCATTCCATGGACTAACATTCTAAAGAGGAAGTCGGGCTTGGTGAAGGATGGTGAAAGTCTCAAGAATGAAATACTGAAGACAAAAAGAAATGTATTTGGAGGGGCAAGTTAAGTTCTGTTTCAGACATATTGAGATTGAACATTGCTTCAATTCTAATAAGACAAAAAAGAAAGAAATTGTCAAAAGAAATCAATATGGATGTATAGTAACTAATGAAATTAGATTTTAAGAAGACATTTACAGAAAATGGAAAAAACGACCAAGTAATACAGAATGAATACAAAATTGGCATGATCTGTAAAAATAGTATCAGCAGTGCTAATGCTCAGAATGAGCTGAAATTGGTTGAGGAAAGTTAAGGACAACAAATAATATTGATTAAAAAACCCTACCATGTTGGGAGTAAAGAGTAACAGGTAAGCTATTACCTGAGAGATTGCTGCTCAGAGTAGATGAGACACTGATAACCATTAACAGAAAGAAGGTAGAACTACTCAACTCCTCATTTGCTTGTGATTCCTAAAATCAGTTCCTTTATATTTGTGAGACAAATAGTGAAAATCAGTATTCTGGTGTATATCACTGGAAGCCTGGCCTTGGATTTGTTACTCTGATGGAAAAATGTTGACTTGCCTAATGTTTAAATCTTGTTTGACAAATGTTTGCACTTATGTGGACTCTTTCAGAAAACAGTTTTTAAAGAAATATTTCTGCCTACTAAGTCAGCCACAGCTAGCAGCAGTAGGGGCTTAAATAAGTAAATAAATTCAATGTGTACCCAGCCCCAGGTAAAGAAGTAACTGATAGGAAGGAGAACTAAAAAGGTGAATCTGGAACAGTACTTCTTGACTGGGGGTGGGGTGGGGTGGGAGAGAAAGGCATTCTAGGATTAATAGTGTTGGAGGCATGATACTCCGTGTTGCTGTGTGTCTTTTGCCTTTTGCCATGAAGAAAAAGAAATCAGGAACTCTGAGACCTGGGATGTTGGAGAAGTCTTTTAATAATACCTTTACTGTGATTGTCTCTAACAGCTTGGGGAGGATGGATAGACTGCCTGAGATAGAGATAGATGATTGATAGTTGACCCCTGAGAGGCAAAAAGCCCACAGGTCCTTGATGCCAAGAAACTTGAACACTGAACATGTCAGTACATTTAGCTTCCAAGTTCCATCATTATAGCTCCAAAAGAGCATTCATCCCCTCCTTCGTAGTCATGTGACCATTATTACCACCCTGGTTCGGGCCCTTGTTAAATGTCACCTATTCTATTATTTTGTTTGTTTTAACATAGAGTTTCCCTATCTTGCCCAGGTTCACAGCTTAGCTCAGTTCCTGTACAGCATTAGTCCTACCAAGTTCCAAGTCCAAAACCCTCTGGGCTCAGTTCCCAGCTTCTCAGAGTTTTTCTTCTGGGCTGGCAGCAACATCTGGGCTGGCAGCAACATCTGGCCTGGAATCTTGACTCCAAGGTCCCCATGGTTCAAGGTCTTGGGACCAGAAATTCTATTTCCTACATCTAGAATTAAAGGACAAGTGAAACAGACCAAAACCCCACACCCATTTCTCAGGGCCACAGGGCCTAACAGGAAGAGCTTGTTGTGGGTAAACAAAGCTTTCAGCCCCAGACACCACTAGAAAGAGGGAGAACAACTGTGCCTGCATCAAATAGATTTAAAGACAGCCAGCTCCAGCTCCCCAGCCAATGGAAGGAGGCTGATGCCACTCACATAATAGGGGAATGGAGAATGTTTTCTTCCAGAAGCAGATCCCTGGAATTTACTAGGTGGATGCCTCCATGTTAGGTGATGGTCATGCATCAGAGTCCTGTTACCCATATCAACAATCATTTTGCAGCTTAAAGAGTTTCTCAGAGCTTTGAGCTGCTCCCTGACTGGTTTAGTCACATAGTCAGTATGTGTCAAAGGCAGAATTTGACCTGAGGTTTTTGTGACTTCAAAGGTGTTTTTTTTCTCTCCAAATGCTATACTCTCTCTCAGTTATGCACTGGAAACCCTCTACAATCTGGCTCCTACATACCTTTATCGTTGGATTTCCCAGTCTTCCTTGAATTCTGTGCTTTAGCCAAAGTGAACTATGTGCTGTGTGGACTCCTTAAGAGATCCAGTATATAGGTAAGATTGTAGCAGCCTACAGTTTTAACTTCTCTACTCTGCTATTACAAATGCTTCTGACAGGTCAAGGTGGTCCAGGTAGTATCTCATATACCATAGTATTGTACCTAGATTCAGTCCTGTGTCCATCAGAATCCTGACCCATGTTCCTTCACAATGAATTTGTTCCAGACACAACTGTCTGGCCAAATGGTGCATGTATGATTTCTTGGCTCACCTACATTTCTATGCTTCCTACCCAATCCTACCCAGTCTCCAAATCCAATCTTGGCTTCCACTCTCTCAGCTGAGGGTGATTCTTACTTTACTTAAAAAAAAAATTGAGGTCATTTGCTATGAGCTCTCTCTTCTGCTAGTCTCTTCATCTCGAAACCCCTTGACATCATACCCATTCTCTCCTTTTTACCCCTAGATTCTAATAATGAACCAGTCCTCTTTGCCAAGGCCAACCCCCCCCTACATATGTCCTT